ACATGAACTCTTGTGACTATTTTTATAATAGATACAGGCTCATTGTAAGATTATTATAGAATTTTTTTTTAATTATTTTTTTTATTTTGGCAATTATAGAATTTTAAAAGTGACTTAAGAAAGAAATTTTAAGAGAAAAATATCCTAGAATTATCATTAGGGCCAAAAATGGTATCTATGTCCTTTAGATATTAAGAAAAGAACATATCTATCCTATGAAAGGGTTTATTATGAGAACAGTCTTCCTAGAACACTAACTTTGAATACAGAACTCTCTATCACTACTATAAAAAAATTACCATTATAAATAAAGATAGAGAATATTCCACTGTTGGAGTAGAGGTATCTGTTTACTCTAGAGGGATAGACGGATATGCCTCTTTGTGTGTATGTATGTGTGTGTGTGTGTGTAATATACATGAGCAATAGGGAAAATCATTGTGACATATTTAACTTGAAAAAGGCATACTTAGACAATGACAACTCAATATGGAAGCTCATTTTTGTGTTTGTGGAGATGGTATAATATATTCTGAGTAAAGACCTAATGGTCCTTACTCAGTTGTCATTCTCGTTGATATCTTAGCTTTTGACGGCCTACATTTACCCAGATATATACTAGATACTCTAACTTATATCACAACATTGTCCTACTTCTCTGTTGTTCATTCTTATGTTCAAAGAATGGCCATTGTATGCTGCTAAACAAGACAGACACAGTCCCTGTGTAATTATCCTTTCTTCTTCTCTCTCCTACTGTCTCTTTTCATGATTTCAAGATGAGTATTAATCCTTAGCTGATTTCTTTGTCTATGATAGTTTTGACTTTATGCTTTCTCTGAGAACTGCTTATGTTATAACTTCTAATGGCAACAAATTATGTCTCTCTCTCTACTTCTGATCTTTACCCTGAATTCTATTCATTTAGTCATTCAATAAATTTGTATTCAGACCTGTGTGCCTGGTACAAATGATACAAAAATGATAAAGGTAGTTCTTGCCCTCAGAGTTGCTGACATACACATGATAAGCAATTTTAAAATACAGTGTGATAGACATGTGTACAAGGTGCTATAGGACACATAAGAAGGGAGTGCCTGGCTTGGACTTGAAGGAGAAATGAGAGGACAAGTATCCCCAGCAGAAGGCTAAACGTGCAGGCACCTAGGGTTTTAATAGCATAGTATGTTTGGGCCACAGCAAAAGTTCAGTGTGATTGCAGCCTTAAGGGGGCTGCATGGGGGAGAGTGGAAGGTGAGGCTGAACATTTAGGAAGGTGCTAGATTGATTGCTCCAAAGATGAAATTCTCAATACTAAACTAATGTCCTTCCACCATAAAAGAGGTCCCCCTCGGCTGAAATCATGAGGGGTAGCTCTACAAACACAACATTTCCACAAATACAACAATGATATCTTTATGAAGAAATATTTTTATCAGTGGGGACCATTATTCTCTCTACTTCCAAATCCTGAAGTGTCATCTTTAGGGTCTGCCTCAGCATTTGTGATCTGTCTTCAAGTTGTATCATTTCTATATTCAAGACATTTTTCTATGCATTCTTTTATATTTTCACTATCAATACACTACTTATCACCTAATTACTAGATTAGTTCAAAATTATGTCCTTTAGACATTATGGATTAAATACTCAGGGAAATGCAAATTAAAACCACAATGAGATATCACTTAACTCCAGTTAAGCTTTTATCAAAAAGTCCCAAAACAATAAATGTTGGCATGGATGTGGAGAGTAGGAACACTCACTGCTGGTGGGACTGCAAACTAGTACAACCTCTATGGAAAGTGGTATGGAGATACCTTAAAGAACTATAATCAGAACTACCATTTGATCCAGCAATCCCACTACTGGGATTTTCCCAAAGGAAAAAAAGACTTTCTATAAAAAAAGACATCTTCACTGAAGTGTTTATAGCAGCACAGTTCACAATTGCAAAGATGTGGAAACAACCTAGGCGCCCATCAATGTATGAGTAGATTAATAAAATGTGTTATATGTATACTATGGAGTACTACTCAACCATAAAAAAATGGTGAACTAATACCTCTTGTATTATCCTGGATGGAGCAGGAGCCCATTCTTCTAAGTGAAGTATCACAAGAATGGAAAAACAAACACCATATGTATTCATCGTTAAATTGGAACTAATTGATCAGCATTTATGTGCACATAAGGAAATAACATTCATTGGAAATCAAGCCGGGGGGAGGCGGGAGGAGGGGATGGGCAAATTCACACATAATGTGCACAATACACACTATCTGGAGGATGAGCACACTTATAACTTTGAGTCAAATGGTACAAAAACAATTTATGTAACCAAAATGTTTATACCCTGTAATATTCTGAAATAAATACTCCCCTTCTCTCCCCATCCATCCCCCTTCTCCGTCTCCTCCCCTATATTTAAAAAAAATTAATTTCTCAAATCCCTCATTTTACCATGTTGGTGATTCTGAACACAAGTAAGCAATAATATTTTATTTCCTAACAGGATAATTTCTTTCCTAGGCCAGTATCTTAAACCCATAATTTTTTAATAAACACAAAAATCTCAAGCACTCTTAATCCCAGTAAAAAATCATGAAATTACAGAATTCAGAGAGTCTGCAACAAAGAATATATTTTTCCATTAACTTTGAGTTTTTGTTATGAACACAACATGTGTTATACTGAATAAGATTTTTTAACCACTTTGGTTGGAGCGTTGACTATAGTTGACAACCACAGATGAACGTGTACAGCTAAGTGTGGACTTTAGCCAACAGCTGTGATATGACTTTTCTAATTTTTCATTTATCAAAATAAAATTGTGAACATTTAAAAATAACATAATAAAAACATATATGTGTATGTTACCTATTCTGATTTACATTACAAGTAAAGCTGCCTGTAAAGTAAAACAAGGTTTCAGTGCTTTAAAGCTTTCCTCATCATACAAGAGCAAAACGGGTTCCTCGTCAATACACAGCACAAACTATTGTGCAGACTGTGAGTGCCGGTTGTGGGCAAGGTTTTGCGGCCAGTGAGCGCCGTACTGAAGTGGTTAAAGGACGGGTCCTCATTCTCCAATTATATCTTCCTTGCCATAATTCAAACCTGTTTTTCTGTCTAGCCAGATCACTTGTCTCCATGGGAGGAGACCACATATTCACTGACTCTAGAAAGAGATAGCCTATTTTGTAATCCTGGTTCCACTACCTACTAGTTTCAGCATTGTTACTAATTACTTTAAGCTTAATTAATTTTATGTGAAAAATGAGGATAGTGATAGGACCTACTTCAAAGGGCTGAGGTAAGGATTGAGTTAACCTGTGTAGCCTACTGCCCTGCATGTGTGAGCACGCAATGCATGTTGGCTATGAAATGTTATGTACCTTGAAAACTTTTTGCTCATTCCCTCTGTGCTCTCGTTGATGCAGTTCTCATGCTGCCCTTGCCTTACTCTACCACTAAATGCTCTCTTCGTGCCATTTGTCATTGCTTGTGTTTTACCTTCTATTTCAAGTTCATCTCAATGGCCTCTTCTTTAATAGTCATTTCTAACTATTCCAGTTCATGTCGACCTCTGAATTGCTATAGGTCCCTTTATGCTGTTTTAGTAATTATTCATGTTTCTATTTTTATGGTATATTTCTGCCTTTTATGATGTTGCTTTTTAAATTTAGATATAGTATAATAGAGTTCTGGAATTATCATCACAATCAAGATACAGAACAGTTTCATCACTACTTCCCAAACCTATCTTGGTATTTCTTTTTAAACAATTTCTTGAATATACATTGTTTTTTTGACATGTACAGTATAGGTTCTTGAACCTAGTATTTATTTTACATTAATTTGTCTCCCCTATGTATGGCCAAGCCTAGTATTAAGCATATAGTAAGTGAGTAGATGTTTGAATGTTTGAGTTGTATAAAACAAAGCCTAAAAGCATCGTAAATTTGAACATATTTAGAAGCTACTAATTTCAATTATTTAACTTTTGCCTTTCGGTGCTGTCTTATTTAGGTGCAAAATTTCAACTGAAAATTACTTCTGTATAACTTGTTACAGTGGTTTTGGAGGCCGGGCATGGTGGCTCACGCCTGTAATCCTAACACTTTTGGAGGCGGAGTCAGGAGGATTGCTTGAGCTTAGGAGTTTAAGACCAGCCTGAGCAAGAGTGAGACCCCGTCTCTACAAAAAATAGAAAAAGTAGCCAGGCATGGTGGCACATGCCTGTAGTTCCAGCTACTTGGGAGGCTGAGGCAGGAGGATTGCTTGAGCCCAGGAGTTTGAGGTTTGAGGCAGTGAGCTGTGTTGATGCCACTGCACTCTACCCAGGGTAACAAGGTGAGACCCTGTCTCAAAGAAAAAAAATGGTTTTGGAGCCCTGCCAGGGTTAATAAAACCCATTTTTTGTTGGTCTTTGGAAAACAAAAGGCTTGTTCCTTTGTATTTTTATTATCAAATATATACTTATGGTTTCTATATTTTCTAACCCTATTAGTCTAAATTCTAATGTGAAGCAAAATTTTGCATCTTTCTTCTCCTTGACTATATTTGGCTATTATGATGTTATTATTAAACTTATTTATAGAATTTTGCCTTTTTTCTTAAATACATTTACATATTAAGCAATCCAATTACAAATGAATTAGTGACAGAGTGCAAAATGGAAAACCTTGTTTTCTCAGCTTTATTTTTCCATGGGCCAATTGTGTTCTCCTCCCTGGGAGTTTCTTCTATTGATTGTTCCTAAAATCATAGGTCAATGCAAGTAAGAAAATTTATCCTTGGATAAAGGTGGGGATGATATGGGCAACAGATGCTGTGTGGTTTTTCAGGCTTCTCTGTTGGGTATGGTGGAGAGCATATTGATTCTTCTCCATAAAGGGCAAACTAGGGTTAAGATTTTCAACCCCTTCAGTGGACTTTACTTCCTAATGAAGTGAATTGAATTTATTCATGTGTGTCTTTTTTTCCCTCTCCAACAGCTTCCATGCCTCTGGCTGTTCTAAAATTGGGCCAAATAGATCCATTTAAGAGAGGCTTTTTCTGTAAAGACAACAGCATCAACTATCCGTACCATGACAGTACCGTCACATCCACTGTCCTCATCCTAGTAGGGATTGGCTTACCCATTTCCTCTGTAAGTAAATTAAATAAGTAGGTAGTTATGGGTTTGTTGTGCTGGAGGTTGGATGAAGTGATGGAGTTGGTTGGGGGTAAACCCACAGTGCTATCTTCACCAGTCTTGATGTGGTAAATGATTGCTTGAAGAATATACCCACTGTTTTAATCCAGGGGCAGTATTTCCCCAGTTAAAGGTGGATGTTACCTGAAACAACTTGATATCATCCTGAAGAATTATAGAATGATTATTTTAGAATGGAAGAGTCCATTTAAATCATTTGGACCAACTCCTCTCAGTATATAAGTGAAAAAACTTAGGCCCAGGTACTTGCTAAAGCCAGTAAGTTATTTTATGGCAGAGCTGAAACTTAGATTATGCTTGTTTTATCATATTATTAAGTAGAAACTGAGGCCATGAAAAAGGAAAAGGTTTACTTATTAAATTTGAGAAAACAAAAAACGCAGCAGAAAGATGATAATTGTATAATAAAATTCTCAGAATATATTAAAACTGTATCACTGTTGTACTATCCTTTAGATAGCTCATCACTTCGTAGGATAATATTGGGTGGGTTTCATTGTTTTAGATAACTGAAAACTTTCATTCTAGGTTAAGATTTGCAAAATAGGTTAAGATTGGCACTTGGGATATTATGCCTACTTTCTTTATCCTTGTCTCTCATTCCTAAATCTTACCCTTTGCCATTCTATGTGAACTGGAAATAGAAGGGAAGGAGCAGGGCAAAAATTTACCTCCTTGAATGTCTTGAGAGTCCAGCAGATCACACCGTATTTCTCCTCTGGCCACCTATCTCTTGTGATTTGGCTTCCCTAGATACTTGACTTAGAAAATTTTAGTGTCTCAGCAAAGTCAGCAGCCTTGTTATAGGACTGGCTGGCTTTTCTTTCCCTATTTTGTCCCCATATTGGCTAAGAATAATAACCTAGTTCTTTGCTTTTCCAGTTCATATATATCTGAGCTCATTTTGCCTTTTTGGCTGGCAGATTTTTTAAATGGTCTTCACAGTATTCTGAAGGTGAAGGAGACTTGGATTTTATTATATTCCAAGACATATTTCCATGAATTTACAATTCTAATTTGATTATAACTACCTTTATGAGAGTAAAGGGGTAGAAAAGTCTGAGATTTGGTTTGAGATACATTTTTTCTAAGAAGTAAATCCCACCATAACTGGTAATTTCTATTTGAGGCATCAGGCTTATGAGAAACAGTATGCAGGGAAGCATAGAGTACTGCCATTTAGATGGTAACAGGCAGTGTTGCTGTACTTGCATGAAGTATAATGTAGCTGGCTGGGAGCAGTGACTCATGCCTGTAATTCTAACACTTAGGGAGGCCGAGGCAGGTGGATCGCTTGAGGTCAGGAGTTGGAGAGCAGCCTGAGCAAGAGTGAGACCCTGTCTCTACAAAAGATAGAAAAATTAGCTGGGCATGGTAGCACACGCCTGTGGTCCCGGCTACTCGGGAGGCTGAGGAAGGAGGATCACCTGAGCCCAGGTTTGGGAGGTTGCAGTGAGCTATGATGACACCACTGCACTCTAGCCCAGGAGACAGAACAAGACCCTGTCTAAAACAAAAAAAAGTACAAGGCATTTGTACTATTGCCAGATAGTTTTTAAAAAAACTGCGCCTGTATTTGAGAAGATACCTCCTTGAGCATCAGGAAATTACTTTTAGTTATTTGACTTGGTCCATTTCATCTTTTCCTTTAAAATAATTTAATTATAAAAATAATACGTATTTATAAATTTAAAAAATTTATTATAAAGCAGAAAGGAAAAAGAACCCTTAGTTCTACTACCTGAGGATAACTACTGTTAACATTTTGCTCTGATTTCCTTTGGTTAGACAGTTTTTATATCATTTATAAGCACATTGCAAATTCAGTTTTGTGTCTTGTTTTTAACTTATCTTTATGATAAATATTTTTAGGTTATGGTATTATAAATATCAAATCATTTAAATGATTAGTAATAAGGCTAAATTTTTTTAAAAGTAGTGGAAAAGGACTTGGTATGAATCCTTAAGTTCTTGCGTATTGATTCTTATGAGTTTGCTGTTAGAATTGACCTGAAAAAATATTTCAGCACAAATTTATTTATAATTTAAAAAGTAGAATTTGGCTAGTTTCTGGGCCTTAAATATGCTGATGGCTTATGGACTAATGCTTTGTGGAAGGGATTTTTGCAAATTCTTAGGGTAGATTTATGTGTTTGTTTTAACAGTTTATATATAACATCAGATGTAGAAGATAATTTATTTCTATAAAGTAAATTATATTTAATGTAACTATATATATACTTTATAATTTGAAAAATAAGATTCAGGATAATAGAAAAATTTAAATTTTAAAGCAGTGACATTTTTACAATTTGAGGTCCATAAATTTTTTTTTAAAAAATGCATTCTGTACTGTTTCTCCTTTAGCTATCAAAGACAAGGTTTCAATCTGTTGCTCAGGCTGGAGTGCAGTGGTGGGGCATGATCGTAGCCCATTGCAGCCTCAACCTCCTAGGCTCAAGTCATCCTCCCACCTTGGCCTCCCCAGTAGCTACGCCTCCAGGCACACACCACCGTGCCTGGCTAATTATTTTTTGTGGAGATGTTGCCCAGCCTGGTCTCAAACTTCTGGCCTGAAGTGATCCTCCCACCTTGGCCTCCCAAAGTGCTGGGATTACAGATATGAGCCACTGCTCCTAGCCTATTTTTGGGTTTTAATGATCTGCTTTGGATTTGACACCAAATTTGTTTTTTCCCTCCCTTTTTGGCTTGTGTAGGTCTACCTCCTCCCTTGGCAGTTCCTTATACATTTACTTTTGTAAATTTTTACATTTCTAGAAAAAAGTAAAAGCTGTAATGTGTATACAAACTTTCATAGTAATGATAGTAATGATAAAGTTAGTGTTAACTCTCAAATCCATATGTTGCAATGAATAAGTATACTTTGTCTAGAGTTTAAAATGTATAGTTTGGAGATAGAAGACTTATCTTTGTGTAATATGCTATTTTAAATTGACTTGAATACTGACTGTGAGTAGCTCCTTGTCGTAGGTCCTGATTACTCTACGGTAACTGTTCAGCAAAATGTTTAGCCTAAGAAAGCCATCAGAGAGTTGAGTATGTGAAATATTTGTTATGGATCACTACTCCCCTAACATAATCAATTTGTCTGCTGCTTAATGATTGCAGCTTAAAAGGGGGATTTCAAAAATGACTTTCTCGACGTTGTTACATGAGTGAACATCATTTCTTTTCAGTATTCTTTTTTTTCTTTCAAACAATTACATTAGAATAAATAAAAATAGAGTGTAACTCAAGGGTTTTTGGAAGGCAGTTCCAATGTTCTTTTTTTTTTTAAATTTGGATGCTGATTATACAAATAAATAAACTTTGTAAAAATTCATTAAAAATATATTTAGCCTAAAATAATAGCATACCCAGTGATTTTTTGTGATCACCTTATAAAACTCCTAGAGAGATTGTATTATTCATGGTGACCCAAAATGCATCATTACAAAATAGAAATATATGTGGATGTATATGGAAGAATGCTTATCACTTTATATATCTTTTAAATTAATGAGAAACAGATGAATGCCCCAAAGAAAAATGGGCAAAAGGCATGAATAGAAAGTTGTCAGTAGGAGAAAAAAATTGCCAAGAAATATAAAAAAAGATTTAAAATTCTTAAGATATCAAAGACGTTCATATTAAAGCACCACTGAGAACATAGTTTGGCCTGTCACATTAGCAAAAAAATCTTTCCCAGCTTGTCAAGCATAGAAAACAGGTACTTGCCTATATAAACCTGGCACGGGTATAAATTGGTATTATAAAAACATAATTTTGGACCTAGAAATTATCCTAGAAGCAGTTTGTCCTGGAAATAAGTTTTGTGCAGAGAATTAGTTGAAAGACTTCATTACAGAATTATTTTTTATAGTAGAAAATTAGAAATAAATTAGTTCAGCTGTAGGGGACTGTTTTATGATTTACTCTAGTTATAAAATATAATAATTCATTTCACAATTTTTTATTTTTTTTTTACATGAAATGATATTTGTAATATATTGAGAGTAGAAGGGAGAAGAGTAGTAGTAATGGTTATCTCTCAATAGTGGGATTCTGAGTATATGAGATTATTTTCATTTTACTCCTATATTCTGTTTGTTTCTCCTCCATTGCTTGTCAAATAAGGAAGTCTATTTTTACTTAAAAACCCATTAGAAATTATTCCATTTTCATTTTCCTATACTTGAAGTTTAACTATTTTAACTACATGCCCAATTTCACATACTTGACCTTTTTTAGGTCCTAAGAAATTGTTTGTTAGTAGGTTTTTTTGTAATTAAAAATAAATTTGCACCTTGAGTTTGGCAATGAGTTTTTAGATACAACACCAAAAGCATGATCCATGAAGGAAATAATTGATAAGTTGGACTCCAGAGTTTTATTTTGATTTGGGATCATTGGTTCTAACTAAAGAAGAGTACAAGATTGATTGACAAATAAATAGAATAAACTTTTAATTTATAAGACTTAATAATCTGATGAAGATGAATTTAGAAAGCATGATAGTACTTACAAATTCAGTGCAGGTTTTCAATTTTTTTTTTTTTTTTTTTTGAGACAGAGTCTCACTTTGTTGCCCAGGCTAGAGTGAGTGCCGTGGCATCAGCCTGGCTCACAGCAACCTCAGTCTCCTGGGCTCAGCGATCCTACTGCCTCAGCCTCCGGAGTAGCTGGGACTACAGGCATGCGCCACCATGCCCGGCTAATTTTTTGTATATATATATTTTAGTTGGTCAATTAATTTCTTTCTATTTTTGGTAGAGACGGGGTCTCGCTCAGGCTGGTTTCGAACTCCTGACCTTGAGCGATCCGCCCGCCTCGGCCTCCCAAAGTGCTAGGATTACAGGCGTGAGCCACCGCGCCCGGCCGGTTTTCAATTTTTATAATTAAAAAAACCAAGGAACTGGAACCTTGTGGCATTT